CTAAGCTTTGAGCGGCACTGAACCTTTTTGGATAATTTTCAATAAGCCCGTCAAATAGCTTGCGTGCAAACATTAAAACTGACGGCCCTCGCGATTCTTATAAATAAATAGTTTGTGGTCGAGAGTGACTCCGTTGTAGTGCAGCTTAATGAGGCGAGTTACCTAGAGTTACTGCGGAGTCGGTGGCGGTTTCGTTGAGTTGGGTTTAGCAGACGACAAGCTTGTAGGCTTTGCTACGCGGAATTCGCTCACCCTCGGAAAGCCGTGGTCGAGATGGAGCTTCTTTGTCATTTATCAACGTCTGGGCTTCCCCGAGGACGGTCTCATTGACGGCAAGTTCCTTTGTTTACTCCACTACGAGAGCAAGCTTACCAGCTCAGTCGTAGTGCTCCGGTACGTTTGATTTTTTTATCCGGAGACCGAACGTTTGACAAATACCGATTCGATCTCCAAACATCCGACATAAGGATCGCAGCGCACAACAAAAATACTCGCCTCCGAGCACAGGGTACACTCTTCAATATTCTTACTTTTGTGCGTTTCTCCCATAGACTTGCGTGTATTGCCTGGTGTCAAGCAATGGCCGCCGGTGGCGACACCAACGGGCTCCCGATCCGCGATCCAGCCTACTAAAATAGAGATCAGTGTTCATTGGTTTCGGTGATAGCGAACCTCGGAAGACAGCGCGCTCTGTGACGACGTATTGTTGGTGTATTTTATGACCTTTCGTGTCACCAACGTTTTCTCAAGATCGACTGAATGATGAGACGTATAAGGCTTTCAGAAATGTAAAAGCCTTATACGTCTAAAATAGCTGGAACACATATGTTTCTAAAATAGCTTGAACACATATGTTTCACTCTGACTAAAGGAAATTTTCTTGTATTTTAGAGCGGTTCAAAAGCGACGCTATACTCGCACCATCACTCCGGTAAATGCAAGCGCGCGCTTGCACGCGTTTGCACCTGCAAGAAGATACCAACAATAAAGCGCTCCCAAAGCGCTCAAAATCCACATAGAGAATTCCCCATATTACACGAGCCATCTATTTCTGCTCAAATTTCTCGACAGCCCTCATTAAATTTTTTTTTTCTCTCGCTTTCGAATTCTGCTTCATAAACGTGTCACAGAAATAGGACGTTAAAGGGGTAGGGAAACAAAATGTTTTGCACTTTTTTCATTGTTTAAATGTGGTCTATGTTGTGCCGGCAGTCCAGGAACACTAGCCTAGACTAGAGTTTCTGAGCTGCAAGAAGAGAAGTCAAGAAAACTAACTTTAAAACGAATGAACAGATTTCAAAATTGCGTCTGGTGGCGGTCCGTGAAGCTGCGTTGGAATGCCGCGACGTCATGAGCTCGTAAAAGCAGCGCCAGTTCGCGGCAGCATGGCTCGCTCGTGGAGTCACTTAGTCCTGAATCTGAGCTTGCGGAGATCGCTAACGCGTTTGCTATGCTCCGTTCACCCACAAACTGACAATGCAGCCAAAGTATACAAGCGCGAGCTAGCCGGCGCTCCTGGCTTTGAGACATACATTTCTAGCGCGAGTGCTCGTTCTACGAAAAAAAATGCTTCAAAGCAGCGACCTCGAGCTGTGGCCCTCAGACACTACTACTAGGCGACATTGTCACGCGTCAACGCCACCAAACAGCAATGCACACAACTACAGTACCTTTGGCTGTGCCTGAACTATTGACGTCACGAGCGCGATACGCATTCCGCTTCTGACTGGTCGACTTCGAAGCGCTGGGTAGAGAGCTCGCGCTCGCATCATTCCGTTTCCGCACCCCTTTAACAAGTGAACAGGAAATGCAAATTACAGTTTCCCCACATATATTATGATCAGAAACGACACAATGACAAATAAACGGCTTTTTTTTTTTTTTTGCCATTTCTAGCTTCGCCTTTTAGCTGTATAACTTACTTTCTGTTCTCCATTCCCTCTATACTACTTATTAGCAAGCAAAAAAGTTACATATTTTTCTATTTTGAAACGAACGTTTAAGAAAGCTTTAAGTTAAGGGGACAGGGGTGCGCGTGATTCATATTTGTATTGGAGCTTTGCAAGGGACCATGGCACCCCAGAAGCCCGGACCGGCCCCACGAGCTGGGCCCGGGTAGCACGGATTGTTTCCGGGCCAGGGCGGGGCTTGAGCAGTGGTGTAGCACAGCTTCTAGAACGCTTAAAAGTAAATGCTTACGCATTGATCGGTTATACTTGAAAGGAGCGAAACAGCCGAACTGGGAACTCGCTACGACGCCACTAAAAATCTTAAGAATAAAGAAAGCTGTACTGGACTAAGAAAGCCCACAATAGGATACAGGGAAGAATCCTGGAGATACTACCAGCATAGTAGGTCAGCTACTAGCAGGCAGCTGTCCCACTATGCTGGTGGTCAATTCGGTCACAGCAGAGAGTACGAGGGCAATCAAGTCATCTGGCTACTGAAGATAAGTTTTGTCTTTTAAATTTGTGTTTGCTCTCGAGAATTCACCACGTGACTGCAATATGAGCCCTCTTTCATGCAAATTACGTTAAACGAATCAAACGCACAAATACCTTCGCAGAACAAGCTTTAATTTAAGATATGGGGCACACCCTTCGCCTCTCACTGGGCCGGGACCGGGCCGGGCCTGATAGGGTAGGCATCCCATCGGGCCGGGCCCGGGTTGGAAGTGCCGGCGGCCCGCGCCGGTTTAAAAAAGTAGGCCCGTACTGCGCTCTAATCTGTATAAACGCTTTCCAAAAGAATGCCCCAATCAGGCGCTGTTGCATTTTACGCCCGCTTGAACTTCCGGCCAAAAAGGAGACGAAACAACCCCCATTATAGCACCGGTCTTTTCAACGTCCATGTAATATTTCATGTCCGTTTTTACTAGTACTTGGTAAAAAGATCGGTAAGAGATTCGATTGGAAGTTTTAGATGCTCCCATGCTCCCACCGATCCGTTGGAATATGTTTAATTGAATAGCTGAAGGACCTTGGTAGATGTCCGACCTCGTCGTTTGTCTAGCGGTTAATATCCCAACCAACTATATTTTCGCAATCATCGGCCTTTACTCTTTCCGGTATGCTGTTTAGAATCGCAAAATTTACAATGGTTATTGGGAAACCAGCGAGCGAAAATGATGCAAAAACTAGCATTAAAATATACACGCGCTTTTCAGTGCCGTGCTGTTAGGGGAAAACAGGCTTGCAGGTCGGGCGGGCAGTCGAAAATGGGCTATCCGGAGCATTTGTTGCGTGCTGCTGCGGGGGTGCTGGAGCGAGCTTCCAAAGCATTGATTGGACACCTTGGAACTGCTTGTAATCAGTTGGGAGCAAAGTATTCAGTTTAAAGAGTGAACCCCAGCCTTCTGCTAGTGTCCTTTCTTCATTATTGCCAATACAGACTTACGCTTTGAAAAAAAAAAAAAAAAAGACAGTGAGAACAAGAATTGTAATTTCAATAACTTCGCAAAAAAACAAACAAAAAAGTGAAAGCCGTTTACAACTCCCTCTAACGCCAGATTAGAGCGGAGCTCTTGAGGAGGAGTAGGGAAGGGTACTAAGGGGGGGTCACGTGACCTCGGGAGAGGGGGTGTCGCGTGACCTGGGGGGTCACGTGACCCCCCAGGTTATGTGACCCCACAGAGAAATTTTTCCGCTACATTTAGCGGGGAAATTTTTCCGCTAGATTTAGCGGGGATATTTCTCCGCTAGATTTAGCGAGGAAATTTTTCCGCTAGATTTGGCGGGGTTATTTTTCCGCTAGATTTAGCCGGAAAATGTTTCCGCTAGATTTAGCAGGGAAATCTTTCCGCTAAATTTTGCAAGCAAATTTTTCCGCTAGATTTAGCGGGGAAATTTTTTCGCTAGATTTAGCGGAGAAATTTTCCGTTAGATTTAGCGGGGAAATTTACCCATAATGCACCGCGCGTTTACGCCGTCGGCGACGGCGACGCCGCTCAAGCCGGAAACGGGCGCCTAAGAGCTGCGCTCTAAAAAAACAGCGTTTTTGGTCCAATATTTAGGGTACTATTTCAGCGATGTTTGTGGTGTGTTAAGCAAATTTTCAGACCATTCGGAGACTATGAAGAAAACGCCGTAGTTCCCATTCAATGAAATAAGGCGACCGGAAGTCGCTTGGTAGGCAAGAGACGGCTGGTGTTTCTAAGCTCAAAAAGGGTCTACACGGCATCCTTGGATGCGAGCCTATCATGGAAGTGGCTTGCTACCAAGGATGCACAATTTATCATTTATTTTATCAGTATTTACTTGGATGCCTGGCCTGTCTAAGAGCAAATATTTATCTCCGATTCTTTACAGCGCCACACTTTGCATCCACAGACTCTCAGAAATCCGTTGGCACGTCCTCAAGCAACCGCATTGTCCACGACACCGCAGGAAACGACACCTTCGCAGGGGTTTCTTGGCGACAAGGGCGATCGGACGACCAGCATTGTCGCCATAGTGATCGGCATCATCTTTGTAGTCGTGGTGGTCCTCCTTGTGTTCACCCTTGCACTATACCTGCAGCACTTCTACGGTGCCGACTCAGGATCCAATGTGCACTTTTTGAAAAAACCCGATTTTCATGATACGTCCCTCGAGACCGGTCTTAATAAGAGTGCTGAACCTTGCAAAGACTTCTACAAGTTTGTGTGTGGAAACGACGAGCTTCGTCCCAGACGACCACATGGCTACGAGTGGCGCCTTATCGAGTCCCTCAACCTCACGAGGGCACCCTCAGTGCAGGTCAGCCTGAAGCAGAAAGTCGACGCGTTCTTCCAGAGCTGCCTTCGCAGAAATCAACCCCCCCGTGAAGGTTTTAGATCCTGGTTTCAGTACTTCATTGTAGGCATATTTGGAAAACCGTCAACTCATTTTATGGCCGCTTTGACCAATCTTTCTATGAACTGGCGACTGCACCTCGTGTTCGAAGTAAGCATAGATGACAACCAGACGCTCATTCTACGGCAGTTGAATTCTCGACACTGGAGGGAACAAAGAACGTGGTTGATGTCATCGGGAGTCTACAACCAGTTTGTCGCGGACTCGCTGCGTCTAGTTCTAGAAGAGAACTATGACAAGAACAGCATGTTAGCCAAGGTGATAGCCTTTGAGGACACGTTGTACAAGAGATTTTACGTGGGGCCTACTCGTACCTTAGAAGACCCATTTTTGAGCACAAGTATGAGTGAATTCTCTAAGCTAACACCTAATATTAGCCTCAAGACTTGGCTCGCGTCCCTCAACACCGTCCTTTCAGTCCCAACAGATTCCAGGAGTCCGGTAAAAGTTATCTCAGACAAGGTGATTGAGATTATTAACATGCTGACCAGCATGAGCGAATCGACTGATATACAACCTCTGATTCGATGGATGATAGCCAAACAACTTTATTCGGTCCAATACCAGCCGCTCATGCCGAATCAGCGCGAGCTGGCGACACAGTGTCTGCGCATTTGTGCAGGCGGTATGGGCGTAGCTGTTGTTCTTCCAGTCCTCGATGACGTGTTTGCCGGCCGACAAACAATTTTAGGTCTGGCTCAACTTGTTCTTTCTCGGCTTGCAAATAGGGTCGAAGGCCTTATGTGGATGACTGTGGAGGACACAGCTACAACCCTAAACACTATGATGAGCACAACCTATCATCTTGGATTGGACCTGCATTACGACAAAAATGCCATCGACCAACTATACTCCGAACTTCCATCGCTTCACAGCGCTTTCTTTGACAATTGGCTCCATATTTGTAAGGCCCTCAGGACTTTCGTAGGCAAGAGCGAGGGACCCTGGGGCCGTGTCCTGCAAAAGGACAGCATCTACTCAATTGCGACCCGCTCAATTGTATTGCCCTTGTGGAGAATAACTCGTCCCGAATTTAATTATACGGATGGCTCGATGGTCGAGGCCAATATTTTGGCGAGTCACATGGCTATCATGGCGATGTTGGTGTTCGGGATTGCCCCGCTGCAAGACTGGGAGGAACGTACAAAGATGGAGTTTGAGAAGCAGCGCCGCTGTATAAAGGACGCTTTCAACGTCAGCGAGAAAGCCATCGGAGAGGACACTGCGTTCGCATATGCTGCGGCTTTGGGAACTGCCTTTGACGTGTCTCAGGAACTGTTTCTTCATCGGCCACCTCAGCGCGACAGCGGTGTCTTCGACACAAAGCAGTTATTCTTTTCGTGGTGGTGCTTTGAGACCTGTGGTCGGAGTTCGCGGTTGTGCAACGTGCCTTTAAGGAACAGTCCCATTTTCGCCAACGCGTTCAACTGTTCAGAAGGTTCTCCCATGAACCCTCAGACGAAATGTGCTCTCTGGTAGCAACGGAAGTTAAATATCTGCAATCTGCATTTTGCACAACTTGACGCTTTCGTATTTAGAAGCTTATTTAGAAAACCGGCGTAGGGATAGGGCAGTATTTAATTTATTACAATAAAATACTTTGAGTATTTTGTATTAAATTACAAGTTAAATGGTATATATGTATTAAATTACATGTATTCTTCCATCGTATTTCAATACACACATTTCAGTATTTCTAGTTTGCGTGTGCTCGCGCACACCGGCGGCTGCTGGCTCGTGGAAAGATCGTGCGCCACTTATTATAGACACTGAAATTCAGCATCCCTTTAAGTGCGAGCGAAACCGAAGCTAGACGCTCGAGCATACTGCCCTGAACAGCGCTTGCGCTGCACGAGTGCGCGTGCTTAGCAAATTCAAAGCGCAGAGCTTGCTCTCGTAGCTTCTGCTGCGCTCATGTGAAACGGAGTATGATTCGCGCTTTGAATGTGCTTGCCAAGCACGCTCACATGCAGAGCAAGCATCGTCTCGGGCCCCAAGCTCGCACTTGAAGCGAGTGCGTAGATCGAGAGCTCGCCCTGCAGAACCCAAAGATTATGAGTTTAGTTGTTTATACTCCGTTTCACCTTATGTTGTACCGCAGCGAAGGCTAGAAGCGCGAGCTCATAGCGCTGGCAGCAGCACTTGGTGCACGAGGGCTTGTGCCGCCGAAATGTGCCCTAGAGCTAGGGGCTCGCGCTTGTAGCTTTTCCTGCGGTACAACACAAGGTGAAACAGGGTATAGTCCCGACCCTGCCCGTTTTGATCTGGGTGAGCATCGTATCGCCGTGCGATTGTGTTTCACTGCTGGGTACTGCTCGTTACAAAATCCAGACTATGCTCTCTTAGGCTAGTCCGCAGCGGACACTATACGAGCCATCTCGGTCAATCGAGCATAACCGGCGTGACACTGTTGTTTCGCTCTCCACGCGTCGTTCTGCCAAGCTGGGAGATAAGTGAAACGTCATCAGCGCTCAATATGGTCCAATGGGTCGTAGCGTCCGCTGCGGTTTATTTTAGGGTGAAACGGAATATAAGTCTTACTGCAATGGGTAAATTTCTCATCAACATCGTAGAGGCAGTAATAAGTGATAAGCGACTGTCGCCACTTGACAATTTGACAAGCATTGCGCTGTCTAAATATCCACGAACACCAAGTAAGGTTTCCAAAGATGCAACATTGTTTGTGCTTGACTTCAGCTTCCCAGGGTCCTGCGATCTATGTCTGACGTGTGGCTTGAGCAGACGAATTTTGCTACTGGGCAGGATTAGCTCGTATTAGCTGGGAAACCAAGAAAAGTACCCCAATTGAGTTTTTCTTTCTATTTTTTAACAGGACACTTCCCTCCCCCCTCCCCCACCTTTTTTTTCTCTCTCTCTCTCCTAAGGTGGCAAGGGGGAAAAGAGGAAAGGGTGCGAGAAAAGGTTCTCTTCGCTCGGCCTTGCCACGATCGAGGCGCCACGTAGGGGCGGTCGTTGCAACTAAGATGGGGTGTCCAGAAATCTTGACCTTGAAACGTCAAATTATGGGAAGCGTCATGACGTCACTCATTAAGCCGCGCGTTGCATTATGGGAAACGTCACTGTTGCATTATAGGAAACGTAATATTATGGGAAACGTCGTGACATCACTCGGGAAGCCACGTGTTCCATTATGAGCAACGTCGTGACGTAACTTGTGAAGCCGCGCGTTGCAATAGGGGAAACGTCCCATAATGCAACGTGCGTTGCATTATGGCAAACGTCACAGTCGCATTAAGGGAAGCGTCATATTATGGGAAATTTCGTGACGTCACTCGTGAAGCCGCGCGAACGTCACTGTCGGAGTATGGGAAACGTCGTGGTGTAACTATAGTCAGTTACAGGTTAAGAAGGTAGCGGCAAATGCCCCTCAAAGGGAATCAGATATCCCTCTGCCACCTCCGCATCCAATAGCGTCCCACCGTTTCCGTGACGTCGCGGCCAACGCGCGAGGAGGGTCTTGCCTTTCTGTACATATTTGCTTTATCTTTCGACTTTGACTTAGCATTGTGGAAGCCACGAGAGGGAGATTAGAGTTCTCCCCCTCCGATGGAATCAAATACGACTTTCGGGGATTAGCTTCCCTCCGATGGATACAAAGGCTGCTTTTTAGGGGCTCGGTTCTTTCTCCGATGAATACAAAGATCGCTTTCTTAAAAAGTGGGATCGGAGACAAGTTGGAATCCATTGAAGCGGAACAAGGAGCGTTTCCAGTGAACTCTTCTTTCGACTGCGGAGGGATTATAAACGGGCGCATCACGCTTGTGGGAGGAGCTTCTCTTACCTTCTTGACTTGTAACCGACTATAGTAAAGCAGCGCGCCACATTATGGGAAACGTCCCCTAATGCAACGCGCGGTTACGCCGACACCGACGACGACGCTGACGCCGATGGCGACGGCAACGGCGACGCCGCTCAAGCCGGAAACGGGCGCCTAAGAGCTGCGCTCTAAAAACCAGAAAGACAAGAAAGACAGAAAGACACGACGGCCAGAAGCTCTTTGTTTATACAATGCTGGGCTGTAAAAAAAGAAAGCACCTCTCAGTATGCGATGTTCACAGCTTAGCACGAACGATTTCGTCGGTTCCGAAAGCAAACAAAGCACGCTTCGTACGTACAAGGGCTGAAAATGACACAACAGTCAGAAGCTATTTTCTAACTACACGACCTTGACTCGTGCATAATCTTACACTAGTCTTTACAGGCTCTCATTTTAAAGCTGAATTCAGTGGAGCAAAGATTAACAGCAAACTTCCTGCTCCAAAAATCTATTACAGCACGCTGCTTCGTGTTCGTCGCAATTCAAATTTCATACGATAAACAAGCCATAAACAGCGCTAAAGCAAATGCTTGATGTCAAGGCGTCAGTGGCGTGAGCTTCTGCATCTGCACACAAATGACGTAATTGCAAACGTTGAGAACTACAATTCAAACCAATGCTCATCCGCAAATAGGTTGTTCATAAAATAAGTTTGAATGGTTCGAACATGGATCCCATTTCTGAGTCAGTCAGAAGTCGCTGCCATTTTTGTTTCACTATATTTGGTTATTTTTACCATTTAGTTATTACATTTTTTGCTATATTCATAATATCATGAAGGTGAGCTATATTCAATATAGCTCACTCCGAGCTCCCGACCTGCATGCCCAGCTGCTAGAAATCAACTCGTTTTTTCCGGAAAAATTTTGCGCCATCATAGATTGCGCAGACGTTTTCCTGAAGAAAAGAGTAGCTCGCGGCTGCGCATGCAGGTCGGGAGCTCGAGGCGGGCGCGGGCCACCGGCTGTTAGCCGCCGATCTAGACGAACTTCATTTTGTTCGCCCGGCATCCGCCGCAACTGGCAGGTGCCAACCGCCAATCTCTAGTATAAGAAGTATTCACTGGGCGCCATATATTTGTGAGTGATGTCTAGAGCGCATGCTCAGAACGAGCTTACATTAATAGGCTGCTAAGACCGGCAATCTTGAAGGTGCGGTATGCACGTTACAAAAAGCTCGCCATCAGCACGCACTCAGCATTCGTGCACACAGCTATGGCCGCCAGTGAATACTTCCTATAGGAAGTATTCACTGGCGGCCATAGCTGTATGCGCGACTGCTGAACGCGTGCTGATGGCTAGCTTCCAGGGTTCTTTCGGCAGGTAGCAGACAGGTAGCAGACGACAAACCGGGAAGTTGCCGTTCTTCATCTCTGGGCTGTACCGGCGGGCTGTACCGAACATCGAACTCTCGCTCGTGGCTGCCGTTATGAAGTGGTTCGCGTTTTTAGAATACTTATGGCTACTTTAAAATAAACCTTTAGCGCTCTGTTGCTTTATTGCAGTAAATGATCAACTCGCGTATTTTTGTTCCGTTACGTCAATAGCAGGGGAGTCAGCCGGCAACTCAACCACTGCGTCTATTGCGCCAGGAGAGCACGTCTTTATTTATTATTCCAGACTTCTACCCACTGTCGTTAAAGGTCTACACCAGTACGAGCTTCGTATAGTAAAACAGCTACAGCAATCGGATTTACTTTTCGCCGGAGCGACCGGCCACTCTGACTCAGTTTTCAATTTCTTTTTTCTCCACACGGAGGTAACATCGCCATTAGACTAAGTCTTTTTATCGAGCATAGCATTACACGATAACCTGCATATCAAAATCTGCGCTTCTGCGCTTGAAATTTGCAAAATGACGCGATTTTAAAACCGAGTTTGAACGCCAGCCGGATGTTAGGTACAGCCCACTTGGCGGAGCAGACGACACCCGGGATGAGAGGGGGAGGGCATTTTTTCTTTCTTGGCTCTTCCTAGTGGAACGGTCTATACACCAACTCATGTTTACAAACAAACCGGAGCGCCCGGAGCGCCCATAGCGGACGCCACCGGCGGCGCGCATGCGCGATGGGGGTGTGACAAGAAGCTCGCCGTCGCCCATAAACAAACCATTGAAATGCGATGTTGTCGGCGTCAGTGTGAGTCCCCGCGCTCTTTTTTGCGTTGAAATTGTTGATTCTACGTCCTCCTAACGATGTCTGACTGCTTGAGCGGCGTCAGCGAAATTAACGAGGCTCGTTACACCGCAAAACTTCCCGTGAATAATCTGACATGCGGCGATTCATTCAGCGTGGACGCCGCAGAATGTACGCTAAAGCATGATTCATATGATGAGATTTCGCTCGCAATTTTGAGTAACGACGTCGCTCGGGCTGCAGAAGCGTGAACCGTAGCTGAGATGGTCAACGTCGATGCTGAAAATTGCAAGCAGAATCTAACCAAGTGAATCAGGCATAACAAGTCGCTGATGGCCACTGGTAACAATGATCAACATCCCCTTGTAACTACTGTCTACATCGAGCCTGCTTACCAACCTTCAAACTTAAGTCTTTTGAGGCCTGCACTTACTTCTTATCGCAAGTACCGGGCAGACGTTTGGTCTAGGGGCCGGTGTCCTCTAAAAGAGCAGACGACAACTTAGA